GACATCACAAACATCTTATCTGGACCAATGCTGCATTCAACATGATACACAGAAAAATCCATGTTTATCTTTTTTTTTTTAATATTTACTTTTAAAGTAACAAATTGAGTAATCTACAGTTCTAAAATTTGAATTATAATCTACAGTTTGATACCAAACTCAAATTCATGAAATAGTTAAAAAAAATTTTGAATGAGAGTCAAATAAGATGACATGGCCTTTTACCTGTGACCCATCTTGAAAGGGTTAAAAGTAAATCTTAAAATATTGATTGCGTGTGTGTCATGCTGAATGCAGCATTGGTCCAGATAAGATGTTTGTGATGTCAAAATACTAGGTCTAAAGTTTTGTACAAATTAGGAACTCAAATTACAGATATTCACAAGCTAAAACATAAAATAAGAACCACCTATCTTTTCTACTTGTAAGACATCACTACATTTACTGAATTAAACAGCAGCTCCACCCACCTCTTTCCATTTTAGGAAACAGTTGCTTACATACACCTACTGCTGTCTTATGACATGTGAAATAACCAATCAAAAGCTCAGAATATCCCCCTTGTGGCTTTCTCAGCCTCTTTGAAATATTCAGGTGGCAAGGCAAGACTAGTGAGCGTGAAATTTCAGATTTCTTAGACCCAAATACACCTTAGTTTCTAAACTTAAGTTATTGGAATTTTATTTTGTTTCACATCCACCATGTGCAAAACTTGATAAGGCTTAACAACTTACAGTAGACAGATTTCTTAACCAGGAGATAATTGTTTAATATACTTCTTTATTTACCATTTTGTTTTAAGAACTTGTTTGTAAATAGAGATGTTTACATATGATGTATTACAACTGAAATAACTATTTTACAAAATACTTCACAAAAACACAACCAAGACATGTCACTTTGTAAAGGCCATTTTTATATTATTGGATAATGGTAACATGAGTGCACATACATTTGTTAGTTTGTAGTCAATCTAAAACAAAAATAAAATTATATACATTTTTTTATGGTGATTACGAGGTTGGTCAAAATGACCCAAACCATACAGAAATACAGTAGTGAAAAATAATTAATACTAACTCTTAACCACATGCATATGTTTACTGACAGATGACATTTGAAATAGGGGAAATTTCACACTTTCAAACAGCATATGTCACAGAATACATTTTTAATACTTATAATTTTGAAACAAAATCTTTAACTTCCATTATTTTACTCTCAACTTTTCTACAGATAGGAATATTACAAACAGGATGGGAGTATGGAGTATCCACCAACAAGTGTTGATAAACATACAAAACAGAAGTAAACTAATCAAACTCATTTGATCTGTCCCAAACACAACCAGGAACTCAGGAATACATGAGCTGGCTCCAACGATGCTTAATGGTTTGGATTCAATCTAGCATTGCATTACGAACAACACCAATACTGTTGACTGATGTTGTAGATACCAGTCAATGCCAAATACACTTATATTGTAATGGAATAAAAGTAAACAATTCAAAATGTGTAAAGTATTTTAATACACCATGTTAATTTCCAAGAAACATGGCATTTTAATGTAAATAATTTAACCAAAGCAAACAGATATTTTACATCATAATGCAATCATTCCACATTAACCATTCTTTGAGTCATTAAGAAATTACTTCTCATATTAACCTAGTTTCTCAGTATTCACACCAATCCCACCATAGAATTCAACAAATAAAATACTTACCTTAAATGTTCTGTGATTTTTTTTTCTAGTTCAGTTCTTTTTCTGCAATTAAACAAAAGTTTATTTTAACTTGACAAATACACAGGATATGCATTTATAAAATCAAGTAGTATTTAGCTTCTTTGGACTACTATTAATCTATTTCCCAAATGTTTGCTTTTAGAAACTCAAAATATAAAAAATGTGCCATCCTTTTGAACAACCAGATTAATACAACCTCACTGGTATTAGTAACATTCCTGGATAAAATTTCTTTAGCACACACTTTATACCAGACTGAGGATTTTAAGTTTTCTGTCTGGAGACCAAAGCTGTGCACAAGACTTGAAAAGTAAATTCTAGTCAAGACCTTATATTAAAATTTACTGAGAATAAGACCTGTTCATTTCTGAAAACCAGGGACTGCCTTCAACTTGCTCAGGTCAAGCCAGTTAAAAACGTTTTCTGGCAAGTTTTGCTCTTTAACATATTGCTAGAAATACTCCAGATAAATTTTCAAATGTTTGAGGACATGCTCTTGAAAATTAACTCGTACTCATGATCATTTAAGTTTGTACCTGTAAACTTTAAAGGTAAATATATAAACAAATGGTTTGTGCTTAACCTTTTGGACAGATAAACATCTTTCCTTAAGCTATGCTTCTTACAATCTTATCAGTGCTAACAAAAATCCATAATTGTAAGAAAATACCATCAAAAAGCAGAACTTACAAGATGAATTCTGGAAGAGTTTGCAATCATACAAATAGCTATGTTAAAGAGTACACAGGATCAAACCCCAACCCTTCAAGACTTCCCTGCATGTGGCAGCTGAAACATAGGATTTTAACCATGTTTAGCAATAGAAAAATTAACACTAAATGAATCAACCATTACTTGTGTGATCACACATATTAATTGCAATGGCAAGTAATATTTGATCACCACAACCATATTAATTTCATACCTTTATAAAGTGCAAATACTTTGATAATCAACTCATTCCCAGAGGGATTAGACAATAACTATAATGAAAATGTAGCAAACATTCAAGTCAGTCAAGCAGCAACCAGTATTCTACCCACCGTGCCTGTTTGCTTTTATCTAGCACAGATACTCCACATAGTTGCATTAAGCTTCTATGTTAAGAGTGAGGTGCATGATATAAAACATTTAACATAAAGCTACTTAAAATTTTGATGTTACTAAACAAATTTGTAACATTGAAACACTTCAATTAAATACTGAGTTAATAGATGATCAACTTATAACTTAAAGTAAAATGTTCAAAGGGTTGCTTATTCCCTCTGGTCCTAGGACTTCCATAAAACTTCTATTATCAAAAGTCAATCACCCTGTTTTCAAAACAAAATTTGTTGAGCACTAGTTTTCTTTTAACATTTTTTTTTTCACACTATTGTTTTCAGAATACACCACAAAGAATATCAGGTTAACCAATAATCTCCCAGATAAGTCTTAAAATACTAATACTCAATAACACTAGTGATCAACATACAAATATTATTCACACTAACAGTATTCCACATGGAAGCCTAGCCTAATTATTTTCTAATTCTAGTCTTCATATACTTTAAGTTTAACCAAAGACTATTTTAACATCTAAGTGGTACTCTGTTCAATAACCATATCTTCCAAAACGAAAATAACTTGTGATTAGAAAATAGAATTTTGCCATACCCGAGGTAAAATAACTAAATTTAACCCTTTTACCTTAGACTTAGGAAAGATGGAGTGTAAAAATGTCAATTCACGCATTGCATTGAGATTAGCTCAAATATCACCGTCAGTCACATAGGCTAGATAAGTCATATCAAGTTGTAAAAAAACTGCTCAATCCGATGTTTAGTCTAAAATACAGTACTACTACTTCGTTTTGGTAACGTACGATACGTGACATAGTTTAACAATATTTGGATAGTTCTTCCAAAATTTTGCCCAAACTCTCAATTCACATTTTATAAATTATAATTGTATCATTAAATTCAAGTATAAAGGATATGCAGCTCGCATCACCTAAATGATTCGAATTGATTAATATACAACAAGTATAATCTAGAAACAGTGAAAGTAATATTCCATGTCCACTATCCAGTTCAAAACATTTTATTTAAAACTACTTAACGAGCCTTTTCTCAAACTTTAAACAACATAAAACACAAGAATATTTACTTACAATACATATAACAAATAATACTAACACACCTCATACCTCACCACCTAGAACAAAGAGATCGAAATCACCTCGACTCATGTTTTATATACTTTGTTTAGCGTCCTCTTCTGGCTAAATATATAAAAGCTTAGGTCTCCACTTTCTTTTTAATAACGTTAACGTTCAAGAGTGGAGTTTTATAAACACAATATATCAAAGTTAGAATTGTCAAATTTAAAACATTACCAGTATACATGAGTAAACATTGGGTAGGTAATCGCTTAAATCATTAACATTTCCAGTAATTTATCTACCTGTAATATTCAAATATTAGGATGGCAACTGTTTCATTACTAACAAAATAAATATATATTCTGTCATATTATTGTACTTAAAAAATAGGATCGGTTAATTGCACATAACTTGATATTTTATATAAACAGAAAGCTTCTGGGCCAACCTTGATTTGTGCTAATATTATTCTAGCCTTCCTTACGAGACCTGATATTTAGCCAAAGACCTCATCGGCACTAAATAAAGAAGATGTAGTATGATTGACATACGGGTATACGTTATTATTATTATTATTTTATTTAATTCACAGCCTCTTAGAATTTCTAATGTAGTTTCCTCATATTGACCCGCTCTGGTAATACTAAGACTAATGCTGTAACATTCTTTCTTCGTTGGTGGGTATTTTTAGATTATCTGGCGAAAATTGTTAAACATTCAGTCCATAAGACAAAAGCTATTTACTCCATTTCCTCCCTTAACGTTTCTTTCTCGAGCAAAGGCGTCGGAATCGGGGGTGCTGTAACATATTTGACTTATATATCAACTGTAAATTATATAATTATATTAATTTTCTGGGGGAATATCCCAGACGCCTTAGATTGAGCTGCTTTTAGCAGCTCCATATATTTTCAATCTCTCATTGTAAAATATGTGTGTCTACCCATTTACTCCTACTTCGCAACATTTTCCTACACCACTGTTAAGCTTGAACATTTATATACTGTCGTAAATTGTTGTAGACATATGTTACAAATGACGTTCGAACCTCCCTAGCAATATTAGGAATAGTGTTAAATCAACTTATTTGTATAAGGTAACTTAGTAGGCTTAATAACAAACACAGATACGAATATTTTACGTGAAATACACTGACTAGTCCAACTCTCTATCTTGAAATAACACCACACTCTTTTAACTATATCCTCAACTACTTTTCAACTCACTCTACACACTTCAAAATTATCTTACGTATATATATATATGATATATTTTCGAATATATGAGAACAACTTGACGCCAATTTACAACTTTCTAGGCGTTCTAGGCCTACCTTAGCATCGAGCGACCTCTAGTTGACATATAAATTACAACATTCAAAACATAGTTTAATTAATTAAAACACTAGCTTGCTGGTTCGTTCTCTTTCTATGGCTTAACGGTAATTCTTATTTGTAAATGACTCTTATGATAGTTATTGTTCATGCAATTTAATAATATAAATAGCGTCTTAACCACATTGAAGACTAATCGGAGAGTGTGCTAGAACTATCTGTGTAGAGATGGCACAGACGCCCGTATTAAAACAATACAAATATAATCTGGGTTTTCTTGTCTACAGGTCATCAAAAACTAGATGTGAAGAGCTACCTAGCATAGTCGCTCTATATCTGGTGTATATGCTGCGAATAGCCAAAACCGAGATTTCTGATTTTCGTTCATCGTTATCTTTCTTCAACAGGCCTAGCACCTACCTAGTTCTATCAGTAACTATACTTTTATCATCATTTGATAGAGCAAAACTGTCTTCAGGATCTTTGACTACCTATTTTATTATTATTCTAGGCAAAATTTATATAGCTCTAGAATACACCCTATAACCTAATAATCCATGTATGCCTTCATACAAAAAAGTAAACAAACAAGTATTAAGAAAAAATTATCACTAAATAAGTTGTTGTT